GCCCGATTGCGCGGCGAGTTGGCGCTGTATGCCGATCTGCACGCGCATGTTTGCGCCGAGCGTGGCCCCCTTGGCGGCGATCGCGTCGAGGATGTATTCCTCGATCACCTCGTCGGGGAGGTGCCACTGGGAGTCCTTGAGCAACTTGTTCGCCTGCTCGATGCCCGTCTTGAACTTGGCGAGGCTCGCGGACGTGAGGTCCTTGAGAGCGTCGGGGGAGTACGCCTTCTCGAGATCCGCGCGCAGCGCCTTCGTGCGCACGTTCTTGGAGTTCGTGTCCTCCGACTCGATGAGCGACTTGATCGCCGCGATGCCCTTCTTGATGTCGTCGTAGTGGTCGGCGTCCTCGTCCGCCAACATCTCGGCGAGCGTGTCGTCGTCCTTGACGGCGTTCTGCAGCGCACCGTAGAGTTGGCGCGACAGAGTCACCGACAGGTCCTTGAAGAACTTGTCGATCATGGCCGGGATGAGGCCGTCCGCAGTGCCGATGTTCTTGTAGCGCACGTGCAGCGCGACCGCCTCGGCCTCGCGCTCCGCGCCCGGCCGGATGGTGCCCACCTCGATGATGTCGAGGAGGTACTTGTGTTGCTTCGCCGCGGTCCGCAGGTTGCGGAACCACTCGTTGAACTCCCGCTCGGAGCTCTGTTTGTAGGCCGGAATCACCAGCTTGTCCGTCGACGACATGTTGTCGTAATGTCCCGGGGATCGTTGCCCCGCCGCTACCAACTGTGAAGGTCTTCAGTGACCACTCACAAGCTGTTCCAAGGCCCGACAGAAATGTACTGTCAAAACTTTGTTCAAACAAAAGTCCTGGCCCGCGGCCCCCACACCCACAATGACTATCAATCCAGGCTGCGGGTGAAGGGCAAAACCGCGCCGCTGCAGAACGGTTTTTGCAAAACCGCGCCGCAGCGGTACGAAACTGCGCAGATGCAGTCCAGGGGTGGTAAGGACACTATGTGTGTGTGTGTGGCCGTAGACTAGACGGCTGCGCGGTCGTCGGTCTTCAACAATGGCACCTTCTGGCGGCACGCCCTGTGCATCTCCGGCGACGCGCTAAAGGATCTCAGCAAGATCGCGGACGGCGTGCCAGACCTCTCCAAGATGGACCGCAACGAGGGCCTCGACGACGCCGCGCTGCAGGCGAACGCCAAGTACCACGCGCGGCGCAGCACCGGCCGGCCACTGGCCACTCGCTTCGGAGGCTCGTCGCACTACGACCTCTGGTCGCCCAAGGGTGTGGTAGGCGTCGATGGGCACCGCTACGCACTCATGGTCGTCGACGAGCACACCAGCACCATCACGCCGTACATCCTGCAGACCAAGGGCCAGACGCCTGCCTACCTGCGCAAGTACTTCGCCGAGAACGAGGGAAAGGACGGCCACACGTTCCGCGGAGGGGTTGCGTTCTGCGACAACGAGGTCGTCCTCAACTCCAGCGCCGTGCGCGAACTCTGTCTCAAGTACGGCATCACCCTCCGCAACAGCTGCCCCTACGAGCCGTGGCAGAATGGGGCGTGCGAGCGTGCGAACGCTACCTGCGGCAGGATCGTGCGGGAGATGATGGCGCGCGCAGGGGGGCATGGCGCCACCCAGCTCTACCAGTACTGGGGCTACGCCTGGGTGTACGCGGCCACCATCGCCAACGCCACCTTTGCCGTGCGCGACACCGGCAAGTCAGCGTACGAGCTCAAGACCGGGCAGCGCCCCAAGATGAACATGTTCTACCCGTGGGCGTGCAAGATGATCGTCAAGTCGCCCCCCCACCTTGTGGCGAACGGTGTCTCACCCACGGGCGAGATGGCGGCCTTCCTCGGCATCTCGCGCACTTCGCCCGGCTGGAAGTACGTCATCACCGAGGGTCCGCGCAAGGGGCACATCGGCACCACCACGCAGGCGACCTTCTGCGTCAACGAGCTCTGGAATGGCATCGAGTACCGTGCTCCTACCTCCGACCTCACCCCGACGGACATCGAGGGCGCGTGGCCGGAGCCTGTGACCGCGGACGAGACGCCCGACGAGTCTGACAAGGCTACGCTCGACAACAACGTGACCCGCGGCGACTCCGTCTTCCTCCCCACCACCGACAACCACGCCGGGGGGCTGACCCTCGACGAGGAGGTGGTGATCATGCCAGACCCGGCCAATGACGGCAACGTCAACCCGCCCGCAGCGGGTGCGCCTGCGCCGCGCACCACCCGCAGCCGCGGCGGCGTCTCGACGGGCGAGTACAACAACATGCTCAACGCCCGCCTCGCCGCCAATGCCACGCCCTTCGGTATCTGGGCGGCTGCGGCGGCCGCATCCCCATCGACGTCGGTCTACCGCAACACCACGGATCAGTGCGTCGCGTACATGTCGAGCGTGGACGGCCAGATCATGCCCATGCCGGACAACATCGTGCCCAAGCACTACAAGGACATCGCCAACATCCGCGACCCCAAGCTGCGCGACGCGTGGTACAAGGCGTATGACACCGAGTTCCTCGGCCTCATCCAGAACGGCACGCTCAAGCCCATGCGCCGCCCCGCCAAGGTGCGCGTCCTCCCGCTGAAGGAGATCGCCTCCCGGAAGTCCGACGGCCGGTGCAAGTGGCGCGGCTGTGTCATGGGCAACCTGATGCGGCCCGGCGTCGACTTCACCAAGACCTTCGCGAGCGTGGTCCGCTACGGCACGACCCGCACCGTGCTCAACGTGGCCGCGCAGGAGGACATGGAGCTCATCACGTGCGACCAGCCCATGGCGTACACCTGGGCGGAGCGCGGGGAGGGCGAGACCTGGTACTGCGAGATGCCGAAGGGGCTCAAGGGCAAGCCCGAGTACTGCTACATCGATCCCATCACCGGCGAGGAGAAGGACATGGTGTGCGAGGTCGGCAACCTCTACGGCGCACCATCCGCAGGTAACGCTTGGTGGAACCACGTCAAGTCCATCAACAAGGCGTTTCCTGGGCTCGTTCAGTCCGAGGCGGACCCGAGCTGCTTCATCCTCACCCGCAACAGCACGAAACTCATCGTCGTCATCTACGTGGACGACTTCGGCATCTTCCACTCCGGGACCACCGCTGGCAAAGCGCTCGCGCACGAGTACATCGAGCACTTCAACAAGCACGTCGGCAAGCCGCTCAAGGTCCACGAGGGAAAGGTGCACGAGTTCCTCGGGCTCACCATCACCAAGACGCAGACCGGTTTCAAGCTGTCTGCCAGCAAGTACATCGACATGCTGCGCGCGCGCTTCTTCCCCTCAGGCGTCACGCACGCGGGCTATGGCGCGCTGCATGGCTTGGCCCGACGCGAACATCGAGGCCGCCGCCGAGCGCTGCCTCATCTACCTCATCGGCACGCAGGACCTCGGCCTCCACTACGAGCGCGTTGCCGACCCCAAGCTCTTCGGCTGCTCCGACGCGAACTGGTGCACCCGCCAGAGCACCTCCGGCTGCGCCTTCAAGATCGGCACCGCGATCATCTCGTACTTCTCCAAGAAGCAGGGTCACATCTCCCTCTCGACGTTCGAGGCCGAGATCTCTGCCGGCACGCTGGCCGCTTGCGAGGCGGTCCACCTGCGCTCGCTCCTCGCGTCGCTCGGCTACAAGCCCAAGGGCCCGACCGTCATCAAGATCGACAACACGGCCGCGCTGCGCGTCGCCGAGGACCCGGTCATGCACGACAAGACGAAGCACATCCTGCGCAAGGAGCTCAAGATTCGCGAGCTCGTCGAGTCCGGGGAGGTCAAGGTCGAGTACGTCAAGAGCCTCAAGAACTTCGCCGACTTCTTCACCAAGCCGCTCCCGCGCAAGGAGTTCGAGTCGTTCCGCAAGGAGATCATGAACGACACCGCCTAGGACGGCACAGAGGGGAAACGCCGACTTCCCCTTCATCAAATGTAGTCGACAACCGGCAGTATGGGCGCTCCTGGAGCTCCCCGAGTCACCTGTATGTTCGTCCTCCACCCTTGAGGAGGCTGCGCAATTGTGCGCGCGATAGTAGGAGATTTAGGAGTCGTCTAGCTTCTTCAGCTCCTCAGCGTCGCTACCCGATGCGAGGATGGGGGGCTGTTGAAGACCGACGACCGCGCAGCCGTCTAGTCTACGGCCACACACACACACATAGTGTCCTTACCACCCCTGGACTGCATCTGCGCAGTTTCGTACCGCTGCGGCGCGGTTTTGCAAAAACCGTTCTGCAGCGGCGCGGTTTTGCCCTTCACCCGCAGCCTGGATTGATAGTCATTGTGGGTGTGGGGGCCGCGGGCCAGGACTTTTGTTTCGGTCGCGGCATGCCGCATCAATCTTGCCGCGCCCGGCCAGCTCGTTCGCGAGCCAGTCCGGGGCGACCGTCGTCGCCACGGTCCCCTGGGGAACTGTGGCGTACACCTTGCTGGGGCCGCGTCGATACCCGTCGTCCCTCTCCGGGGGCAGCGAGTATTCGACTCCTATGTTGGACCCGGCCTGGCTGCGCGCCTGCGCAGCTGCAGACCGCAGCCCGGCCACCACGTACTCGATGTTCTCGCGCAGCTGCGCGCGCGGGGCCTCCGCGCGCTCGGCCTCGCTCGCGGCGCGCTCGCCAGCCTCCTTCGCCCGGCGCTCCTTCTGCCGGATCTTCTTGGCCTTGCGTGCCGCGGCCCGAGCCGCGAGCTGCTCCTTGGTGAGCTCCTTCTTCTTTGGCGCGGTGCGCTCGACGTACGAGCGCTCCGCCGCCTGAACCGGCTCGCGGTCGCCCGCGGCCTTCTCGTGCTTCAGGTCGATCTCGATGGTCGCGTAGCCAGGCCTTATCAGCCTGACCTGCGACGCACCTGCGATCCTTGCGACCATCACCGCGTCCTCCAGTTGCGCGCGATCGGAGCTATTCCAGCGTCCGCTGCGCATCCCCGGCGGCACGACGGTGGCCGGCGCTTGCGCACCAGCCCCGTCCGCCACCGGGTCCGCGGCCGCGGTCCCTGTCATAGCTACGCGCGCCATGGAGAACGGCGGGCACTCAGGGTGAGTAGACTGCGCAGTCTACTCACCCGGGTGGGTGGCGGCTCATATAGTTCGACAAGATGCCGAGGAAGGCCGCCATCTCGCCTGTGGGTGAGACACCGTTCGCCACAAGGTGGGGGGGCGACTTGACGATCATCTTGCACGCCCACGGGTAGAACATGTTCATCTTGGGGCGCTGCCCGGTCTTGAGCTCGTACGCTGACTTGCCGGTGTCGCGCACGGCGAAGGTGGCGTTGGCGATGGTGGCCGCGTACACCCAGGCGTAACCCCAGTACTGGTAGAGCTGGGCGGCGCCATGCCCCCCTGCGCGCGTCATCATCTCCCGCACGATCCTGCCGCAGGTAGCGTTCGCACGCTCGCACGCCCCATTCTGCCACGGCTCGTAGGGGCAGCTGTTGCGGAGGGTGATGCCGTGCTTGAACCCCTGCCCTCCGACCCCTCCGACCCCTCCGACCCCTCCGACCCCTCCGACCCCTCCGACCCCTCCGACCCCTCCCAACCAGCCCTCCGAGCCTATGCGCAGTCGCGGTCAGTCGGTGATCCCCGGCATTGGATTAGTACAGTCGTTGCAGTGCGCTTTGTGGCTGTCGGGCTTCTTTTCATCTGACCCCTCTGGCCTACGCCCTCTACCATGGGCTCTAACGGCGTTGGGCCCCGGCGGTCTACGGCCGCCCGGCACACCCCGCCGACGGTGACACACCGTGTGGCACACGCGCGCGCGCCGGTGCTGAGAGCCGTGCGTGTGGCGAATCAATGGGGAGCCTCGCGCCACATATAGGACCTTCTCAACCCGAGAGTGGAGAGGCAGGGCCAGAGAGCGGTCAGCATACGAAAATAGTCAAAAAAAGAGAGCCGGGTTATGCGACTGCCCGGGCCAAAACGTAATCAACGAGCCAAGCCACACACGCTACAGCACCACGTCGCTCGCCCTCCAGTACGACTCGCCGTAGTCCCACAGCAGTTCCTCGCCTGGCTCGATGTCGCGCAGCGCCTGGAACCACACCCTCGGCCGCCCGTCCATGCCCTTGAGCAGCGACTTGACGCGCAGGTTGGCGTCGGCGCCGTGGTTTAAGAAGCGCGTCCAGTTGGCGGTCGCGTACTCCTCGCTGTCCACGAAGGTGTCGTCGCCCACCCTGAAGATGTAGTCTCCCGAGCAGCCGATCCCGAGCGCGCCGCGGCGGCGCAGCCACGCCTCGTCGGCCTCGCACCAGAGCGCGTGCGCTCGCGGCGCCGCCTCGTACCGCACCTCGACGTCCCGCTGCGAGAGGATGTCGCCCGCATAGTCGCCGACCGACACCTCGGCGGGGATGTGGCGAGCGGCAAAGACGCCGTGACCCTTTCCCGGCGACGGCGCGATGCTGACGCCGTCGCGCTCAGCGAAGATGCGCATCCTGGCGATGGCGAGCGAGCGGGACGAGTCGGCGAGCAGAGCGGCGTCGCTGGCGGAGGGCGCGGCGGCGGCGGAGGCCACGATGCCGCCCGCTCGCGCGACGCCCGCGCGAGCGAAGGTGGAGGGCGACGAGGAGGCGGCCAGCAGCGAGAACGATGGCGCGACAGCGGCCGCCGCGAGCATTGTGAGATAAAGAAAATCGCTCCGCTGTTGCCTGCACTGTGCTCCAAGTGCTCCTCCAAGTGCTCCAAGTGCCTTCTCGACACCGCACCAAGTGCTATTCCGAAGTCTCAAACGGGGAGAACTTTCATCGTAGCTACAAGTGCCTCCACCACGCCCCCGGCGCGGCGACGCTCGCGTCGAGCTGCAGCGCGCTGGTCTCCTCGCGCGGGATGCAGTAGTGCTCGAGCAGCGCCGCGCGAACCCCCTCCGTGCACCCCAGCTCGGCCACTCGCTGCGTCGGCACGCGGCCGCCCCTCTTGAAGCGCGGCGAGGTGATTCGGAGCTGCGTCCCCGCCACCGTCACCTTCTCCTCGCGCAAGAGGCGGCAGACGACCAGCTTCTGACGCAGCGTGCTCCCCTCCGCCAGGCAGCGCTCCTGCGCGGCCGCAAAGTCCGCGAGGCACGGCGCCGCCGCCGCGCCAAACAGCTCGACGTCCGCCTCCGCCCAGCTCAGCCGCGGCACCCAGCCCGCCTCGGTGGCCGGCGACGGCGACGCGCGCACGTGCCACGGGTCGCGCCCCGCGTCGCGCCAGCTCTCAAGCTGGACCATGCCGTCGCCGAGCTGCACCTGCGCAGCACAGCGGCCAATACTGAAGCAAGAGCAGTGGCAGAGAAGGCATTGAGCCGAGGGAGTGGGTGGTGCAGACGGCACCGCCCCTGCGTCCCGTGTGCGAGCGCAGTGGAGGCGGCGCGAGTGCAGCCGACCACGTACCCTCCGGCGCTCGCTCGAGGGCGGGGATCTGAGTCCCGCATCTAGTGAGCCGAACCATGCGGCTGCGCATGCCCTCCGCCGTCACCTGCTCGCTCCCCTCCCCGACCGAGTAGCGCAGCGGCCCCAGCGGCGGCTCGCCAAAGCCGACGTCGACGAGGAAGCGCGCGTTGCCCTCGCCTGCGCACGGCGGGTCCACGATTTGAGCCGACGCCACGCACACGCATCGCAGCCAAGCGCCGGCCCTGCAGAGAGGCCGGTGGCAGCGCCGTGTCTCGGCGACATCTCGGCTGCATCTCGGCGACAGCTGCATCTCGGCGACATCTCGGCTGCATCTCGGCGACAGCTGCATCGCGGCGCCGTCTCGGCTGCACTGCGCCTTGCACGCCGCCGACGAGGAGGAGAAGGTGGGTGGGGTGCCGGCGGTAGCCGGGCTTGCCGCGATTGCCTCGCTCCCGCCCCGTCCAGACGCGGCACTGCAGCAGGAGCGTCTCGAGGCCGATGTCGCGCAGCAGCAGCGCGAATAGGCCATTCAGCTCGAAGCAGTTGCCGCCATGCCGCCGCGCGAGAAGCTTCTCCTGAAGTCTGGAGGGCGAGAGGGAGGGCGCCGCGTCGCCGCCGGCAAGGTGCTGTGACAGGTTGGAGAAGGGCAGCGTCGCGAGGTGCGCTTCCACTAGCGTCTCGAGGAGGGGTAGCGTTGGGCCGTCGGCCAGGCATGCTGCAGGAAGCCCGAGCCGTTCCAGATAGGCCTCAACGAGGGTCGCCATCCGTGAGTGCGTTCTGCAGACGTGAGCGCGCCGCGTGGGGCGCCGCGTGGGCCTCCACAGGTGGCAGAGGCTTGCGCCCGTGTCGCCGCGTTCGCTCCACGCCGGCAAAAGGCGGCGCTTGGGGTGTAAAATTCTTCTTTGATAGGTTTGGGGAATGAGGCGCCCTGCCGGGATCGTGGGAGATCGTCGACGCCGAGATGTACGCCATCTACAGCTTGGTGAAGGTAGGCCCCTCTAGTATAGCGGAAGGGGAACTAGGCCTACTGGCGACGACGGTCTCGGGAACCGTACCCATACTACTCAAAAGTACAACATACTACCACAAAGCACCACTAGCGATTTCGCGCGGAGGGCGTAGTGAAGCGCTGGGGCGCTCACTGTGTGTTATTCGGGTGGGGATCCATCAGTGGTAACCGGCTTTAGTCACAGATCCAAGCTCAGACGCCACACCAACACCACAAACACGCTCACTTCGCCGCTGCTGTAGAGGGCCCCCGGGGGCCCATACTACGTCGAAGTACGGACCCGATCTCGGCACTCACGGGCTGTCACGCGCCCGCGCGCGGCGCGGGCCGCACCGCCCATGCCCCCGGGTCACCGACCCCGGGGGGTCAGCGCCACGCTCGCTCGGCGGAGGCGAGGCGGCAGGCGAGGCGGCGGGAGGAGGAGGGGGGGGGGGGGCGATGGTTGGGGCACCGTGGCGACGACAAGTGGCGACGGAAGTGGACGAGGAGGCGGAAAAGGCGCGGGACACTCAAAAGGAAAAAAGAATTCACCGAGTAGAGGGGGCGCTCCGCTGCTAGGGGAAACCTGGAGCGCGGACTAACCCTCGGAGAGTATTCTCTAGCCCCGAGTAGAGGGGGCGTTCTGCAGCTAGGGGAGACCCGGAGCGCAGAACTAACCCTCGGAGACCCGTGTTATGGCCCTGCGAACGCGCACCCCCGGGGCTAGGGCTCTCTAGCCCGTAACCCGATCCCGATCACCCGGCCCGCTGGGTGCGCTTCTCAGCTCCCCGGCCCTGGATGTGAGGCTGCTAACTGCACTCCAAGTCCTCCAAGTACGGCGGTTCTCCGAGGCAGAGGAGAGCGAAGCGACAGAGGAAGAAGCGACAAGGGAGAGAACGACGAGAGTGGGACGACCGCGAGGTGGCATGAAGGTTGCAGCGAGAATCGGCGAGGGACTGCGAAGAGAGATAGGAAGAGGCAGACTCCCAAGGGTGGGCGACGGCTAGCGCATCACACCCCTCTCCTTAAAATCCCTGTGTGTGGTGGCGGCGTGCCGTCCTCCCATCCCTCCCTTGGGTTGTCTGTCTTCTTTTCCCCCCCCGAGGGATAGTTCTGCGCTGCCGGGTACCTGGGTTTCCCCTTAGTTAGCTGCGGAACGGAACGCACCCTCTATCTACTTCGGTCGGTCGGAGCTAGTACACAGCTCACAGGAATACTCTCCGAGGGTTAGTTCAGGTTGCTTTCCCTCCGCACGAGTGCGCCGACCCGTCGCGAGGTGCCTGCGCGGGGGTGATGTCGCGCCGATGGCTGAGTACGCGCGGCGTGAGCGGCTTTGCGCGGAGAGGCGGCGCGCGGGAGGCAAGGGTGGGCGCGCCGGCGGTCGAGCCACCGAACAATTCGACGTGGCGCAGCTCCGCGCCGGCGGGTACGACCGAGCAGATGCTGTCGGCGGCGGTCACGCGACGAGCGAGAGCCGCAGGCGCCCTCTGAGGACCAGGCGCACAAAAGCAGCGATGAGCGGCGCCGCGATCAGCCACCTGTGGGCGGTCACCGGGGTGGCGGTCAAGCACGCTCCGGGGTGGATCTGGTGCTTCTCGTATCACTGGTGGGCTGGGTGTGCAGCAGCAGCGCTCAAAAAGAGGCAAAAAAAGCGTGTGCTGTTTTGAGTGTCAGCTTTCTCGACGCACCGTACTCGGCCCCGCCGAAAAGCTGGCTGGTGGTCGCGCGCGCGGCGCGTCGGCGCGGCTCCGACTGGTCGGGCACCTCGGCTGGGTCCATCGGCACGAGAGGCCAGCCCCGTCGGGCAGCCCCGTGAGCTCATGATGCCCACCGCGAGAGGCGCTGATGCCCACCGAGATTCGCGCTCGTTTGGCCCGAAAACGAGAATTCCGTAGGGGGGGTGCTGAGTTTCGGTACCCTAGACGAGAGACTGCCAGTGAGAAGCTGGAGGCAGGTCTCTAGACTGAGATGAGACCGCCAGTGGAGTTGGGAGTCTCCACCGTGCCACCGCGCTGCGAACCTGTCGTGTCCCTTGTCAGGAGCAGGAGAGCCCCACCTGTGCCCCTGATCGTCCTTCCAAAATCCTGCGCGCACGCACGGGGACCCGTCCAAACACATAGAGGGGCACTTGGGGTCACACCCTACTCGTCGAGCCTCTAGCAACACTGTACACGTACAGTAGACAACCATACACCGACCTCTGCACACGACTCACAGCACACTACATATGTCTACCCGAACCCGCGCACACTTTCAACAGACATCAAACAGACCTCTCCGTCTTTCGGTGGAGCTCACTGGCACTCGGAGCTCCGCTCCTCAACACGCTTGATTCCATTCGCGCTCAGCAGCAGCCCCACAAAGTGGCCCGCCATGTGCTGCCACACCTTGGGCGACGACGCGAGCAGCCGCCGGCAGCGTTTGTCCGAGCCGAGCGCGTACTTGCACCGAACCGAGAGCGCCTCGCAGGGCGCGGCTCCCTCGACGTTGGAGAAGTGGTGCAACAAGCCAGAGTTGTTGAACACGAGCACGTCCTGCTCCTGCAACGTCACGCGGTAGAAGCTGCTCAGGCTGGCGAGGTAGTCGTGGTTGCCAGCCGAGCCGGGGATGTAGATGCTGTCGATGCCCGTTTTGAGCTTGATTCCGGCCGAGACGTGCTTGGGCGCGATCACAACGTCCTTGCTTCCGGTCCGCAGAAAGTAGAAGTTCACGCTCGCCGGTCCCATGTCTATGTGGGCGACGCCCGACTTGTAGTTGCCGAGAAACCAGAGCGGCCAGTATGCACGCCACGTGTGCGGCAGCAGCTTGTGGACGAGCTCGTCGATGCCCGGTATTCTTTTCGCAATCGGGACAGTCTTGACATGAATCGTGCCCTGAGCACCAGCAGCCGCGTCGTTTGCCGGCGGCGATACGTCACTGATTTTGCCAGAGCAGCGTCGCAGCACGAAAGGCACGCATCGGTCGATGTAGTCGACGCGCAGCATCGTCCAGTCGACGCCATCTGGATCAAAGACGTCTACTTCCAGCTGGCCGACGCACTTTGTGCTCTGCCGCGATTCGTTCGAGAAAACCTTGCCTCGGCGCAGTCGGTGGGCCGCGCAGCGAGCGGACGCGGAGAGCGCGTCGGAGGCGGCGATCGCCACGAAGCCAGCGGCGACAAAGGGAGTCGCGCAGGCCGACGCCACCTGCGTCACCTGCGTCACGCGTGGCTTTTCGGGCATGCTGCTGAACCTTGCGAACACACAAGGTCCATGCAAGGTGAGAGCCGCCGTGGCACTAGGAAGTGTATCACGCAAAAAAAAGAATTTAAAAAGAATTCTAGGGTTTTCTTATGGATTCGGGACGTACGGGCTCACCGGGGGAAGGCCAGTCGCAGTGGCAACCGGACCACCGCGACCTTCGACAGGGAGAGCCATGCCTCCCCGAGCCTGGAGAGGAGCCGGCGGAGGGGGGGGGCGAGCCGGGGACGATAGAGAGGCCGCGAGTGCGGGCACGACTCGCCGACCAGGGAGAGCGGGCTCGACCTCCCTGGGAGGGGAGGCGACACGACCCAATGCCGTCGCCCTCGCCCGGGGAGACCTCGGCCGGGCCGTCGACGCCCTCGGAAGCGGTGGAGCCGGGAGAAGCTGGCGGAGATGAAGGGCGGCAGCGGAGGAAGCGACACCAACAACGAGGGAAACGGCCACACCGGCCGTCGCATGACGCTCGTGAGACGAGCAAGAGAACGAATCAAAGGGGGTCGGAACCCTGGGAGGACAGGGGGTGAGCCCTCAGGCGGGGGGTCTACTCATCCGCACGACACACGACGCAGCCACTCTCTCCTGCTATCCGACAGACGCTGCTTGACCGACACGGGACGCTCTGACAGGACACTACTGAGACGACTACCTCTACTCCCTACCGCTACTACTCGACTGGCGGCGCTCGCGGCGCCACGCCGCCCATCCTCGGCCACGCGTTGCGCTGGGTGATCTCCCAGTTGCGCCTCGCAATGATGGCCGAGTGCTGCTGCAGGAGGCGCTTGCGCTCGTTGCGCACTCGCCACTTCTCGCCGTCGGTCCTCGCGCGTCCGATGCAGCTCAGTCTCGGCCTTGGCCTCGGCTTCGAGCTCCCGCTTCCTCGTCGGGTCCATCACCTCGTGTGCGACCGGCCTCCTCGTCGGGATGCGGTAGAAGCGCTCGCCGTCCGCCGCGCCGCGCGCCGTACCGCCCGCCGCGCCACCCCGCGCAGCGCCTGCTGCGACGCTCGCCCCGTCAGAGTCGGCGCCGCGCAGCTCATCCGGCGAGTCGTCGTCAATCGGGTGGCGGTTCGAGTCGGGCCCGTCGCTGCTGGGCCGCGAGCGCCGCTCGTCGTCGCGCCGCTCGAGCGGCCGCCCGCTGCGGCCACGAGGGTTCGCCTCTCTGGGCGTCGGCCAGCCGCCCCGCTGGCTGAGAGGCGACTCAGGGCTTGTCGGCAAGGAGGGAGGTGAGGGCGGTAGAGAGGGGGGGGTTGGCGTCGGCGTGGCGTCGGCGTCGGGGAGCGGCAGGGGGGCGGGGGCTGCTGGGCGGGAGGAGGGGGGGTGGAGGGGGAGGGAGGTGGGGGGGGGAAAGGAGGAGATGGCGGCGGCGGCGATTATTCTTTTTTCTGTTTTGGGTGAACACCGCAAATTGGTTGTGGCAACCCTTCCTGCGCGCCTTTTCTCCTCTTGTAGGGCGCGCTGAAAAAGAAGAAAAACTCCGGCGACAAAAACAAGCAACTCGCCCAGGCAGCGTGTCTCAAGGACATTTGCACGAGACGCTGAGAGCTCGCACAGTTGGAGAGGAGCCGCACGACCTTCAGCCACGAGAGATGATCGCAAAGATGCTCCTCCTCTCCCTTGCCGTGCGGTGTGAGGCGGTGGGCAACCCGCGCCGACGAACTGCGCGTCGAGCCGCCGACGTGCCAATTCAGTGCCCGGCTGGCGAGCAGCCAAACGACGAGAACACAGGCTGCGAGCAGTGCCCAGCCGGGACCTTCTCCGATGGCTCTGCTGTCTCCCCGGTGAGTCGCGTCTGCAAGACGTGCAGCATTGAAATGTACAACGCGAACGCATATCCCAACGCCGATCAGACTGGCTGTGATGAGTGCCCGGCTGGCGAGCAGCCAAACGACGAGAACACAGGCTGCGAGCAGTGCCCAGCCGGGACCTTCTCCGATGGCTCTGCTGTCTCCCCGGTGAGTCGCGTCTGCAAGACGTGCAGCATTGAAATGTACAACGCGAACGCATATCCCAACGCCGATCAGACTGGCTGTGATGAGTGCCCGGCTGGCGAGCAGCCAAACGACGAGAACACAGGCTGCGAGCAGTGCCCAGCCGGGACCTTCTCCGATGGCTCTGCTGTCTCCCCGGTGAGTCGCGTCTGCAAGACGTGCAGCATTGAAATGTACAACGCGAACGCATATCCCAACGCCGATCAGACTGGCTGTGATGAGTGCCCGGCTGGCGAGCAGCCAAACGACGAGAACACAGGCTGCGAGCAGTGCCCAGCCGGGACCTTCTCCGATGGCTCTGCTGTCTCCCCGGTGAGTCGCGTCTGCAAGACGTGCAGCATTGAAATGTACAACGCGAACGCATATCCCAACGCCGATCAGACTGGCTGTGATGAGTGCCCGGCTGGCGAGCAGCCAAACGACGAGAACACAGGCTGCGAGCAGTGCCCAGCCGGGACCTTCTCCGATGGCTCTGCTGTCTCCCCGGTGAGTCGCGTCTGCAAGACGTGCAGCATTGAAATGTACAACGCGAACGCATATCCCAACGCCGATCAGACTGGCTGTGATGAGTGCCCGGCTGGCGAGCAGCCAAACGACGAGAACACAGGCTGCGAGCAGTGCCCAGCCGGGACCTTCTCCGATGGCTCTGCCGTATCCCCGGTGAGTCGCGTCTGCAAGACGTGCAGCATTGAAATGTACAACGCGAACGCATATCCCAACGCCGATCAGACTGGCTGTGATGAGTGCCCGGCTAGCGAGCGGCCGAACGATGCGTTGTTGCCTACAGGCTGCGAGCAGTGCCCAGCCGGGACCTTCTCCGATGGCTCTGCCGTCCCCGCTTGGGAGGACGTCTGCAAGCCATATCCACCTCCCTCGATGCCTCCATCGCCTCCATCGCCGCCGGCCTCGCCACCGCCGGCATCACCACCGATCACCCCACCGGCATCGCCCCCGTCGCCTCCGTCGTCACCACCTCCATTTCCACCTCCACCTCCATCTCTGCCTCCATCGCCTCCAGCTTCGCCGCCACTGCCGGGTGAAGGTAGCAGCTGTGGCGCCGGCTGCGTGGGTGGCATCACTTTCGTCGGAGGAATGGTCGTAACATCAGGCCTCATGTTTGTGTTGTGGTTGGCTGGCGCATTGGGCAGTTGCGGCCATCCATCACCCTCATGGTCGCCATTCTCTACCGGCGCAGCCCCGCCATCTTCTCTGTCGCAGCATGAGGTGCAGGTTGAGGTGAAGCAGGTCTGAAATGAGAATGCGAGAGGTGGGCGTGAGTTTGTTTTCTACGTGAGTTTGTTTTCTATACGTGAGTACTGAGTTTGTTTTCTACGTGAGTTTGTTTTTACGTTATTGTTGTACTGAAATCTATCATGAATGAAACGAAATGAAGAGTCTTGTTTGGTTTTCAAAAATCTCTCTCTCTGACATGCATCATGTACTGGCGGTGAAAGATCGCGGCCATGAACACGCTACACGGCGGCGGCGGCTTTTATTCGTGGCCACGTGGGAACACAACTGTGCGTTCGCGAAGCACAGGAGGAGCACCACAGGCTCAGAGCGCTACGATGCCGCAAGTAGAGCCTTGGCCGCAGATTCTTATGAAACGAACTATGAAGCAATGCGCAAGAAGTCGCAGGGGCAAACCCCGGCTACTAGGACCGTGGACAGCACTCGACGCACGAGCCGTGATGATGACTCTCTCTCTCCGCCAGCGGCTAGAAGCTGGCGCCCCCAGCGCCTCCTCTGCGAGGAAAGCGACCGCCCGCGTCGCGACCAGGCGCGCCGACGTGCAGAGGCGCAGGCGAGAGGGGCAGCGCGCCCACTTCTCGCCCTTAGGCAGCGTCGCCCCGCGCGCGCAGCACCTGCCGCAGGCTGCTCTCGAGCAGCCGCCGCTCCTCGACCTCGTCCTCGAGCGCCTGCGAGGCGGCGGCCGCCTCCTCGAGGACGGTGCAACCAAAATCGGGCATGGCACCAAGTCGGCACCCTAGAAAGGGATCTGATCAAAATATTCCGCAGTTTCCGAGGAGTTACCTAGTACCGACCAAGCAACAACCATGCTCACTCTCAGCTCTCCTTTCGCCGCGGCCTTCGCCGCGCCCGGCCTTGCCGCCGCCTCGCTGCGCACGCGCCCGGCGCTCATGCAGGAGGCCGCCGTTGCCGAGCCAGAGCCAGTCGCGCCGCCGCCGTTCGACCCCAAGGCGTGCTTACGTCACCGCCATCGCCCAGCCTCGCACCGCTCTCTATTTCTCACCTTCGCGACGCCCCCTCACCCTCGCGACGCCCGCTGCGCCAGGCGTTCGCCCAGACCCTGCCCGGCATCACCGCGCCGTTCGGCTTCTTCGACCCGGCCGGCTTCTGCTCCTCGGATGGCGCCTCCAACGAGCAGGTCTCCGAGGGCAAGGTCCGCTTCTACCGCGAGGTGGAGCTCAAGCACGGCCGCGTCGCCATGCTCGCGGCGCTCGGCTTCCCGGTCGCGGAGCAGTTCCACCCCTTGTTCGCGACTGACGACGCGCCCAGCTTCTCCGCCTTCCAGCAGACGCCGCTGCAGACCTTCTGGCCGGTGGTCGTGGGCGTCATCGCTGTGATCGAGGTCTTCTCAGTCTTCACATTCGAGAACCCGGCGAGCCGCGACGCGGACGGCAACCCCGCGCAGCCGTGGACCATCAAGAAGGACCACGTCGCGGGCGACCTCGGCTTCGACCCGCTCGGCCTCAAGCCGACGGACGCCGCCGGCCTCGCCGAGATGCAGACCAAGGAGCTCAACAACGGGCGCCTCGCCATGATCGCCATCGCCGGAATGGTGGTCCAGGAGGGCATCACGGGCTCCAAGCTCTTCTGAGCGCGTGCTCAACCGGCCTCTTCGCTCTGGAGCGGGTGCGACGCGTGTGTCCCCGCCCGGCGCTAACCGCCCGCGGCTCGGCTGCTGACGCGCCCTCGAGAGCCCGCGATCTATTTCCATGTCGTGTGTTTGTGTCCTTGTTCGTACACCTACGCTCCGTGTTTGCCCCGGCTGCGACCCAGCAGCATCTTTCCACGTCCTCGTGGGGCGCCTCATGTCCGCACGCTCACCTCGCTCGACGCGGCGTCCCGGCTGCCTCCCGGTCCCGCCGCCCCGGCCCCCCCCGCCCGGAGTCCCCCGCCTCACGCCTCACCGCTCACGAGGCGCGCGACACCGAATACATTCGCGAGAGACGCACCGGTCCTAAATTACAGAAGACACTGATCGCTGTCATCACAGGCCGCTCGATGTGTTGTGTGTACCCCAGGGTTGGGGCGGTGACAATCGCTGCTGTCCGCTCGCCCTCTCCCACCTCCGGCGGCCTCCCCCAAAATAAATCCTCGCCACAAATGCAGTTGCCAACGCCTCCTTGCGCTCGCCGACCGCAGCCGCGGCCCCGACGGAGGACCGCGGGGTGGCCACCGCGGCGTGGCGTCGCTCTCAGATGGCGAGCCGCGAGTCGGGCTGGCTCCCAACCACCTGCGAGCAGAGCCAGGAGACGGCGTCGGCCGGGACGGGGAAAGGAGGGGGAGGGTGCGCGCCGAGCGGCGGCGGCGCGCGCCTTTGGGCGGTAGCGTCCGTCCACCGCGGGCAGCGGCCTGCTCGGGTCGTACGCGAGGTACTCGTCCTCTGACGACTGGCCTGCGCGCTCCCGGGAGGCCGTGGTGGCGGCTCCGGGGGGGTGGCGGCCCCGCACCGGTGCAGAGAGGAGCTCGCTCGCCCGCCGCCACCGTCGCCAACGGTGCCGTCGCCGTCCAACCTCGGCCCCCTCTCTCGGCCAGACCTCGGCCAGATCTCGGCCCCCTCTCTCTCGGCCAGACCTCGGCCCACTCTCGGCTAGATCTCGCCAAACGGGTCGTCGTCGTCCGACACCTCGCCGCCGTACTCCGCCGCCCCGCCGCTGTAGTCCGCCGCCGCCTCGCCCTGCGCCTGCGGCGGCGGCGCAACCGCGCCGCCCACCATCGCCGCCTGGATCCGCGACCGCTCGGCGGCCGTCACTGCGTACTCGAGCGCCTCGGCGTGCTTGCCCGTCGCCTGCGCGACCGCCCTCCGGGACGTGTCATGGACGTGTCGCGCGGCGGGGAACCGCCGCCCGCCGGTCGCGCCTCGGCGTGCGCGAGCCTCATCACGATCTCGGGTGATCTCGGGCACATCTCGGGCACATCTCGGGCACATCTCGGGGCATCTCGGGCACATCTCGGGTGATCTCGGGCACATCTCGGGCACATCTCGGGCACATCTCGGGTGATCTCGGGTACATCTCGGGCACATCTCGGGCACATCTCGGGTGATCTCGGGTACATCTCGGGCACATCTCGGGCACATCTCGGACACATCTCGGACACATCTCGGACACATCTCGGGTGATCTCGGGTGCATCTCGGGTGGTCGCGCCTCGGCGTGAGAGAGCCACGCGAGGCGGCACGCCTAGCGAACCGTTGTCGCGGACGTGTTGCGGACGTGTCGTGGACGTGTCGCGGACGTGTTGCGGACGTGTCTCGGACCGCCTCGGCGGATCTCGGCGGATCTCGGCGCATCTCGGCGGAGCTCGCCTCGAGGTGCGCCTCGAGCGCCTCCTCCTCCTCCTTGCAGACCACGATCGCCATCGCCTTTGTGTACTGGCCCGTCTCGGTAAAGTACTTGAGCCACGCGGTGCGCTGCTGCTCCTGCTCGGCGTCGTCGCCTGCAGCACACGCTCAGAGGCGGCTCGGAGAAGGGCCGGGGGGGGAAAGGGGCCGGAAAAGAGCTCCGCGGCGCCGCCGCCTACGCCCTCTCGCACCTCGACCTTGCCACAAGCTGAGCGCGCGGGCGGCTGCTCCGGCTCCGCGCCGGCGCCGTCCGGTGCGGCGGCCACAGCAAGCTTGACGGGAGGGGGCGGCGGCGCGGCGGCGGCGGCGCCGAACGCCTCGATGTCGACGCTGCGAGAGCTGACGGCGGCGGCGCCTGCTGCGGGCGCGACGCGGCCGGCGGCGGGACAAGCGCCGTTCGGAGGGGCGTCGGGCGCCTGCGGTTCCGTCAGGGGCGCGGCCGCTGGAAGAGTGAGTCCCTCCGGACATGCCGTGGGCGTGTCGTGGGCGTGTCTGGCCCGCCTGAGCCGCGATGTGCCCGCCGCCCCCCGCCGCCGACGCGGCGACCGCGGCGTCTGCGCGCGCCTCCGCCGCCGCCAGCGCGGCCTTCGTCTCGCTGAGCTGCGCGGCGAGGCAGGCGGCGGTGAGGGGAGGGGGCGGCGGGGAGGGGGGCGGGGCGGAGGCCAGGGAGAAGAAACGAGAAGGGGGGGGGGGGGGGGGGGGTAAGTAAGAAAAAAAAAAACCCGTGCAAAAAAGGTTGGGGGGAAAGCCCCTCTCCTTGGCCCCCCAGTCTGGGCGAATCCCCGGCCCCGCCGCCGCCTCGGCCGCCGTGGCCACGTCCGCGACCCGCCGCGCCTAGTCTCGGCGCATCTCGGCTCACCTCGCCGCGCACCGGCCTGCCCTGGACCCGCCTCCGCCACCCGCCGCGCCTAGCCGAGACGCGTCATGGCGTGTCGTTGCCGTGCCACCTTCCGCCTCGGGACACTCGCCCACTAGCCGCCACGCCTCCGCCGCCTCAACCGCGGCGCGGTGCGCCTGCGGGACATGCCCCGGACGTGTCGTGGACGTGTCATGGACATGGCCTCCGCCGCGGCTATCTCGCCTCGCCTGTATCTCGGCTGTATCTCGGCTGTATCTCGGCTACATCTCGCCTCCGCCGCCCGGCGCATCTCCCCCTCGAGCTCCGCCAGCCGCCGCTCCGACGCCGCCAGCTCCTCCTGCAGCGCCTCGGCCCTCCTACACGCGGCCACCGACGCGCGTCTCGTGCACACACACCCAAGAGGGGTCCCCCCCCTCCTGCCCCTCGGCCGTCCTCCTCTCCGCCCCGTCTTCGGCCGCCGGCTCGCGCGCCGCCGCCGCCGCCGCCGCCGCCGCCGCCGCCGCCGCCTCCCCGGCCGCCTCCCCGGCCGCCGCGTCCCTCGCCGCCTCCGCCTCCGCCCGCGCCGCCTCCGCCTCCGCCCTCGCTCCTTCCGAGGATGTCAGCGCCGCCTCTGCAGCGGCCAGCGCCGCCGCGAGCTCCTCGAGCCGGCGGTCTGGGGTCGGCGCGTCGGCGCACGAGGCGGAGTCTTGCCCCGGCTGCTTGGAGGAGGCGGCGTCGAGCTCCGCCTCGGTCGCCGCCAGCGCCTGCTGCAGCCGCGCCTGTGTGTCGGCGAGGCACCGGCGTCAGGCGCGCATAGCGGAGACTTGGTGGGAGGAGCCGCGGGCGGCGGCGGCGGGGGCGAGGTGCGCCGTCTCCGCCTCCCGCTCGGAGAAGGCGGTCTCGAGCGTCGCCAGTGCCTCCTCGCGCGTCTCGATCTCCTCGCTCTGCGTGGCGACCCGCTCCTCCAGCGCTCTCACAGACGCCTGCAGCGCCGCCTGCGCCTCGACCGCCTCGGCCGCCTCAGTCCGCGCCTGCCTGGCGTCGGCGAGCGCCTCCTCGGCGCGTGCGTACGCGGCGGCGAGCTCCTCGTTCGCCTTGGCCTGCGCCTCGCGCGCCTCCGCGTGCGCCCCCAGCAGCTGCACGGTGAGCGCTTCGTTGGTCGGCGTCGGAGCTTCGTCCGCTCGCGTCGCCGGCTTGGGCGAGGGCTGCGGCGTGCCCGTGTTGGGCGTCGAGGCGGCAGGCGCCGCGTACGGATCCTTCTTCTTCTTCTTGAGCGCCTTTGGGACGAGACCCATGTCAGTGCCAAAGTCGGTCGACTCGGCGGAACACACAGCGGGCAGACACAGAGAGAGCCGTTGAGCCAGCGTGCGTTTCTTTTTGAGCTACCTTAGACGAAGGCGGACACAGGCGGACACAGTTACGGCGGCCGGGCGAGTAAAGTTTTCTCAGGGGGAAACTGTCTGGGAAAAGGATGCTTTTCGCTGCACATGCTGAAGCTTTGAATAGCAGGCGTGGACTGTACTCGCCAGGGCGGCGGCGCAGTTAGATTATTGCTTGCGTTTATTTTCAGTATTTTCTTTCTCGATTTGCGGAGCCCGGCGGGCTAGGCAATCGCCAGCACTAGCAGCGGGAGCCGCAGCAGCGTCATTTTGCAGCCGCAGCCGTAACCGCTGCGGCATCGGCAGCAGCGGCTCATAGTAGGCGGGCCGGGCAGGCGGCTCCCGCTCTGCGACATGGCGCCACGCGCGGCGCAGGCGATGATCACGGCCGCCGCCGCGCTCCTCCTCATCGGCCAGGCGATGCGCCACCGGCCGCTCGAGCTGCGCCGCCAGCTGAGGGAGGTGGACGCGCCCGCTGTGGGCGCTTTGGAGCCCGCCGCATCCGCAGTCGCGCCTGCGGCGGCCCGGCGGTCCTCGCCGCCACCCGCGAACCGGCCGCCTCCGCCTTTGCCGCCTCCGGCTCCAAGGCCTCCCTCGGAGCTGGCCTTGAGATCGGCGGCCGACCCGAGCTGCAACCCGACGCCGCACGCTGGCTTCTCGGGCGGCTCGCTCAACTGGGGGATGAGCTTCCACGTCGGCACCGCGCAGGAGTGCTGCGACGCGTGCAAGGCGCACGCGCGGGTCTGCGGCGCTCCCGGCGCCGGCGGCCGGGTCTACCTGAACCGCAGCTGGGAGGGGAAGGTGAGCGCGGAGCGGTGCGCCAAGACGATGACCTCCAACGAGCTCGGCACGCACGCCGCGCAGGCGTGCAACGTGTTTGTCTTTTGCCCGACGCCGCCGAGCGCGGGCGGCCTCTGCTGGTCGAACGACGTGTGGAACCACTCATCGGGCGAGTGCTGGCTCAAGAGCCAGGCGGCGCCGCAGCGGCCGCACGCGGGCGCCTTTGGCGCCTACCCGGACGCGTACCGCAAGAAGCACCGCACCGCCCCTGAAAAGGTGCAGTGGATGAGCGGCGCGCTGCACCCGGGGCCAGTCACCGTGGACGGGCCGCACTGGCACTGGTAGCCCAGGCGGAAGGGACGGGCCGAGGAGCACGATAGGGGCGCCCGCCGGCGCGCGCTCAGCACAGTGTCGACCCGTAGCACAGAACCTTCAGAAGTCGGGGGAGAGAGAGCGAGCGAGCGAGCGAGCGAGAGAGAGAGAGAGAGAGAGAGAGAGAGAGAGAGAGAGAGAGAGAGAGAGAGAGAGAGAGAGAGAGAGAGAGTCAGAGAGCGAGAGAGAGTGCAGAGAGAGAGAGTCAGAGAGCGAGGGAGACTTTGCGTGTCTCAGAGCGTGTGGTTTTTCTTGTTGCGCGGCGCCCGGGCACCGCCACGCCTCGTGATTTTTGCTATATACACATAGAGCCGTATCTGCACGTCTCACAGTCTCTCACTCTCATGCTTTGTCCTTTGATGCTAACACGTAACAGCTAAGGTGCATATTCGATATTGCCTTATGTTATCCTCGGAAAAAAAATCCAGACGAACGAGCTGGTCCGCTCCTACAGGTGAGAGGCAACACAACTCAAATTTTGATGAGCCTGCTCATTACGAGACTCCGCAGGAGAAACCCCTCCCCCCAGAGACAATAAACACAAGGGAGAGGTGGGTGGGTCACAGAAAGACTGCGGCCGCCAGCAACTGAGCGTCTCGCTGGCGGACGGGGAGAACACAACGAAGGGACGTCCGAAACGCAACACAATAGAAGGGACGCACGCACGTCCATCACTAAGATGAGATCTACTCCCTCAGAAACGCGGCGACCGCCTTGGCGATGAGTTTCATATTGTCTCCACGTGGATCCGGATGGTCTGGCTGGAGCCACGGATGGGAGATCACGAGGATGCGAAGCCCGTTATTCCGGACCTGGCTCATCTTGCGGAAGTCAGGGAATTTGACGCAGGCAGCCGGGAAGCGCTGATGAATCTCCTGACGCCGCGGCATGCGCGAGTGGTTCGAGGCAAATTGGACGAACCAGCGAGCATCAATGAGCTGCACGGCGCTGAAGCCGAGCGAAGGCACGACGCAAAGCGCAGGCTCGAGGCTAAGCCCGTTCATCTGGAGCCATTCCGAGCCAGCGGGCAAGTGCTCGAGCGACGCACACGCTGCTTCGATCTCGACGAGCGCGCTGTCCATGAGCGCCTTCGCCGGATCACCACGATTGGCCGCAGGGAACCCTTCCGCCGCAGGACCGGGGCGCGGCTCTAAGCGCGATGCAGCGAGAGCGCGGGCCATCTGTTCCTCCTCGTACATGGCTGCCGACGCGGCGAGGGCGTGAGCGTACTCGTCCTGCTCTTGCGTTTCCGGTGCCGGCTGGTCCTCGCGTTGCATTTGGGCCCGCACCTCGGCCTCAGATATGCCCAGACCCTGTGCGATGTCCCGGATGTCCTTCACCGTATGGGACCGATTGGCCGACATAGGCCCGCGCCATTGGAGAGATGGCGCGAGACACACGAGATTCTGTAACGACACGAGACTCCACCTCCTCACCCAGGATTCCAGAATTTCCAGAAACCAAAAAGGAAAAAGGACATTGTGGGGGGAAGGGAGTCCCGCCGGGTTCCCCTGCGAGAGCGCGAGAGTAACCCCAAGAGGGCTGAAGATGAGCGGTGCGCGCACAGGGGGGGGTCGGCGTGGACGGGGCGAGGAACGCGCCGCGCGGGGCGCCGCCTCACCGGCCCAAGTGGCGCAGGGTGAGGCGGCGAGAACCGAGCGAGCACGTGAGCCCCGTGGCTCCAACCGGGCCCTTCCCTTTTTGAGCAGGTGTGCCGCCGCGCGAGCGACGCTCCGAGATCGCCCGAGATAGCGCAGCGCGGCCCCGAGAAGCGAGATCGCCCGAGATAGCGCGAGATCGCCCGAGATTGCGCGGCGCGGCCCGAGATCGCGCACCTCGGCATATCTCGGCTAGGTGGATGGGTTGGGAGCGAGGGGGCGGAAGTGTTCAGTGCGGTAGATGGCGAGCTCGGGGCGCGTGAGCCGGACTTGGGGGCCGGACGGCTTTCATTTTCTCTCTGCGTTGTTGAGCCAGGACTCAACATACTCGACTTGCAATCCCAAACTGTCACTCCCCGCCACACTCCGGCGCCGCGTCGGCAACATGGGAGCACGTCCACCGCCACTTCGCGAGGTCGCAGCGCTGTTGTCGCCCAAAACGCCGCCTATCTATCCCTCTGGCGGGCCAAAGATCGACGGCTCGACGGGCGCATGGAGGCATCACGTCTCCATGCGCCCGTCTCAAGTCGAGGAAGCCAGTCTGCGGCGACCACAGGCACAGCGCTCACCGGACACCGCAAG